CATTTTGATTTTACGAAGGGCGCGGCTTTAGCTTATCCTATTCCGATCGTTTGTTGATAACGTTTGCGATTTCAAATAAGGTATCGCTTTTGAGCGTTTGTTTTTAGAAATAAATGTTTCCTAAAAGCAGTGTTATTATAAAATAGTACATACGCTACAAGGCTGGAAAGTAGGTGTTTACGGTGCGAGCGTAGTTGTCCCCGCACGGGGCTTGCTGAGCGCGGGGTTTCATGCGAGTCCCATTAATTCATTAACACCATCTTGGAGGAGACGAGTACGATAAAATTTTCTGTACCCTACCAGCAAAAAACACAGGACAAGTAAAACACAACCCATACATACAACTACTATTGTTTAATTTACAATATTTTAACCCGTAACATTCTATTTTTTTACCTACAACCGTTTTTACTTTCTCCCCCTATACTATAGTATATGGAGAAAGTATTGTTTTCGTCAAAATTTTCGAGTTTGAGTTTTGAGTGGATATATTCGTTTTGGGTCCCCCTGGACCCAAAAAATTGGTTTTCAAAGTGATGTCTGTGTGTGTGTCTGTGTGTCTGGATGTGTACAGAGCTAGAGACTACACCTGTGGTCCGATTACGATGAAATTTGGTATGTAGGTTAGTATCTACAGGAGTTTTTTTCATTTTTTTAAATTTTTATTTATAATGGGGGTTTTCTCAAAAATGGCCAGAACGATTTTGATAAAAATTTAGTATGTTATAGTCCTTTATATACTGAATAAAATGGTACAAATCCCATTTCTGTAAAAATTACGGTTCAAAAGTTATGGTCAAATATGTTATTTTCCCATAAAACCCCATAAAATATCGAAAAATAGGATTATAGAAAAAAATCCGGTTTTGATTTAACATAGTATGTTATGGTCCTTACAATTTTGATAATTTTTTAGAATTTTTTATTTTTAATGGGGATTTTCCCATAAAACCTCATAAAATAACGGAAAAATAGGATTTTCCCAAAAATGGCCCTAACGGTTTTGATAAAAATTTAGTATGTTATAGTCCTTTATATTCTGAACAAAATGGTACAAATCCCATTTCTGTAAAAATTACGGTTCAAAAGTTATTGTAAATTATGTCATTTTCCCATAAAACCCCCATAAAATAATAGAAAAATCGGATTTTCCCAAAAATGGCCAAAACGATTTTGATAAAAATTGAGTATGTTATAGTCCTTTAAATTCTGAACAAAATTGTACAAATCCCATTTCCGTATATTTACTCTCACCGCTTACACATGATAAAGGTTGTTGACAAACTTATGGGAGAAAGTATGTGTCAGAATGCTGACAGCATTTTTTACTTTCATAACAGCATAGTTTACTAACTAACACTAACACTACTAACACGGGTAACGGACCAATGAGTTTCAAGGATTGAGAGAGAAGAAGTAAAATTGTAATGATTTGAACATCAAGTAATCAACTGTTTAGACCAATTTAATTGTTCACGAGTGGTGAAATTATTGTTTGGTGTACAATGTTTCGTTGCATCGTGGCAATGAGAGGTTATAAACGAAAACATTTGAGAACAATTTTAATTATTTTATAATTGTTAGTTTCAAAATGGCGGTCATTTTAAAGTTTTTAGTCTAACATAAACGGTACCTACATGGTTAAACAAAACTACTGTAGAAATGTTTTATTCACACTATTTTATACCACTTTAATGATACTAAATTTTAAAAAATCTGTTCGGAAATAAAAAATGAAACTCATGTTTAAGATCTATGTATTAAAACAACAGCTGCGGTCATAGGATAATAGCCTATCACTGCTAGTTAATTAAACAATCAGCTGTTTAATTGTTAGTTACTCAATGAGCGAAAATATAATATTGTTGTACACAGTATCTAAAAATGAGGGTTTCTCCCTTATTTATAAACCGATTGTCTTAAATTAATATTGTTAGAATTGTAATAAAATTGTCGAAATAAAACATATTCACAATAGTTTAGTTTACCTTTGTAGTTTTTATATTTGAAGTGGATGGATTAGAGGCATAATGGATTTGGTTGTTAGTAAATCAGAGAAAAGTAATTCTTCTTAATTTAAAAGTTAACAGCACCATCTCACTCCTACTCGTATTAGGCATTAGCATTAGAGCATTAGCAGTAAGGAAGTAAATTTGCCCACTTGGATTCTGTTTTTTAAAAGGAGTTTAAGCCGCTTCATCTTTGCAAAAGTTAATTGAGTACAATTCATCTTCATTTTTAAATAGTTTTTAAACAGCTCAACATTTCAAGAATACTAAATTAATGTTTTACTTGAGTTATTTTTTTCCGTAAGTTAATCTTCATCGCTGTGATAGAAAGAGGTTCCTTAAAAGCTCTATATTTAGTTGTCATTGTTATAGTACGACTTGCTCATATGTAAACTGCCTAATAGAGGTATTTCAATATAAACAAACATATGATTTACTTGCCGAAACGCAGATGAATGTGGACGTGCACATGTTCGGCGAACTAATGACGATTAATTTATCAGCTGATGGACAATTCCTGCAAACACGGGGGTGTTCATTGCTCTAATTTATGTGTTAATGTTTTATAGGGTTTTCATGGACTTGTCCTCCTAGGGTTTTTAGGATTTTTATCCTCCTATGTAACAAAATTACGCCTTTACTGTTCTATCGTATTAAACGGTTTTATCATCCGATAGTAGAACAGACAACTGTAGGGATCATAACCATAAACCCACTGTTTGAACTTTAAAATGACGTCACTGGCTCGAATGTAAACTATGATCGTAAAATGTGGTTTGGACGTTCTTGGCAGTTCCATTCGTATATAAAATACAAACATGTTTACAATGGACATGACTTTATTCATTTATGTCTTTCACCATGGACTAGTACCATGGTTCTACCCACATGTAGGCACAATTCGAGATTATTAAAGAGACATTAAACAGGGTGTTTGGTAGTCAGTGTCAGAGATTTTAAGGCCATATTTGGATAATTATATCTTACTCCTCCTTCTGGAAACACCATTTTTAGATTATTCAAAATTTCTTGACATCACTTATTAAGAGTCTTTGGAGGATAGTGGCCATCTTGGATAATTTCAAACAGCTGGTCAAACAGGATTAATTATCATCAAAAACTATTTTTTCATACACCAAAGTGATTATAATATAAATATCTAGGACACTGTGAGATTATAAATTTGCTTTGTAGTTTTGAATTGTTTTCAAATGGAGTCTATGGAAGTCAACGTCCATCTTGGTCTTACCCGCCATAAGGGCAATGTTAATATCGTTAATTTCAAACAGCCACTGAATACATCGTCTCAAAATATTTTTTAAATACCAAGTGGTTTTAATTTAAATATCTAGTGCACTGTGAGATTAGAATTTTTCTTTGTACTTTTTAAATTGTTTCATGAGTTGGAACGTCTAGGCTTCAAGGACTGTTAAAATCTACCTTTTTCAGCTATAAGCCAACTTAACGAATTTTTTTTTGAATCGTCATGAAATATTTTTTGGAAAAAGAATAGTTTGCCACATACTTTACAATTTAACTTTTAATTTTTACTTAATTACAATTTAAAACCTTGTAGAATGGACTTAAAAACTTTTATATCGACAAAAAATGGTGCCATTTTTTGATAAAGGAATTTTCATACGTCCTGTTGAAAAATCTGTTAAAATGTATGACAAACTTTCCCTGATCTCAAGCTTTAAAATGATGTACATGTGACATTTTAGGCCCGCCTTGGGGAAGAAATATTGCGTTAAACATAATTTTAGTTATTTTTTATAACACTTAAGTGAAAGTAGTATGGGAAAGTTTGTTGTATAATTAATACCTCTAGTAAACTTTTAAAGGGAGAGCGAGCTGGTCTAGTGGTTAGAGCGCGGGACTTCGGTTTCCGAAATGAAATGAAATGAAATGCTTTATTGTCGTTAAAACTATAACAAAGTTCATGACAATCGTCAAAAGAAAAACAAAACAAAACAATCAAGATGGTAACTAAAATAACTAAAACTAAAACTCTAAACCAAAGTACTCTTCATGTTTATACAGGCAAGCCTGAGTTAGAGTAGTTTTTAAAACATGTTTAAATTTTGAAACACACAGGTTTTTTATGGATGCAGGCAAGAAATTGCTGAGGTCCCCGGGTTTAAATCCCGCCAAATTACCAATGGATTTTATCTAAGTGATAATGCTGCAACCCCTAGGTCTAGCCTGAAGTAATGTAATAGCTAACACCCACATAGTTAGGACAAAAATGTAAACTTGTAAAACCTTATCTTTTAATACAGCTAAAAGTAAATGCAGGGCCGAGTGCCGTTTGCCTAAACACTTTTACAAGGGTCATTTTACAGCCTGAGGCTTGGCGGGGCGAATGCCGGCCAGGTATCAGTGACCAGGGGGGGATGAGACAATTTTTTTAGGGATAAAATGAAACTTGTAACCTAACCTAACCAAACCTGCTGATTATTAAAAAATTGAATGAAGATATTAATGATCGATATTAATTTTCAATCAATATTAGGATAGCCCAGTTAAGAAGATAGCCCAGTTTATATTGATTTGTTGATAATTGTTAATTGTGTTGTTTTATCTGTTAGCCTGACAAGTACATTGTACTCATCTCCTTTTATACTGCACTTTAATGCATTTCTTTGACGTTTTCTATAGCAATGTAAATTGACAAATTACAATAAATGGATTCTTATTCTTATTCTTAAAAGAAACTGTACCCGGTCTCCGTTAAATCCTGCCCTCTACATTCCCTTCCACTGATACCCCTCCCCTGAATCACTCTTACGCTCTGGGGAGTCAAACGGCACTCGGGCCTATCTGACGGTTTTGACAGTTTATAACCCCCACGGCAAAGAATAGGACGACACTCGCTCCCTTACCCGCTTATAGTAGTCGTTGTACATTAAATACCTGGTAATAATACCTTGGTGATCAAAATTCACGCATATTTTAAGCTCCAACACTTATGCAGATTTTGTTTTGCAGAAAGCCAGATTGGCGAGGATTCGTATCGCCAAGGCGTCGTCAGGAGCTGCATTCGTCAGCAAGAAGAAGGCTGCTGAGGCGAGACTGGCAGCTCAGGAGTCCGGCCTAGAGATGGACGAGAGCTACAGAGAGGAGGACATCTTCGAGCTACAACATCATCACCTGCTACGTTGCCTTGAGAAAACTACAGTGAGTAGACTTTCATTTAGGGAGTAGACTCTCATTTAATGAGTTCAGAGTACACATTCCACAGCTCCCTTGTCTGCACCAAGCTTGCATTCTACTTCTGGACATCGATGTGTAATGTAAAACCAACAGTTCTGGCTGCGTTGCCATAGGGATTTTTTACTCTGAATTAGTTACGTATTTGTGAAAGTATAGTAAAAAGAAGCATCGCGAAAGTTTACAGAAACCTATTAACGTTGAATGTTTCCTGTAACGCATAGTAATATTAAGCATTTAAACGGCTTGTCTACTCAAATCAGTATTTTTAAATCAAATCTATTATACAGATACAGATTTATTATTTTTCTCAATTATTCCAGGATAAATGCTATAGACCTGGAATTTGAGTGCATGAGTTTTTTTCTGTGAATGTCCAATGTTGGTCGTACAGTTCCAAGCACTCAGTTAAATATTAATCCAAATTATTTATTTTATTCTATTCGTAGGATTAATTTTTGTCAAGACAAAAATATTGCAATTTTATGTAAGTAAGAGGGCTTTCAGCTCAACTAGATATTTGTGTTAAAGTTTATTAGTTTCCATTGTTAAGTTAATATGCCATTAAATGGTATGATCTGGGCAAACTATGAAAAACAATTTTACTGTGCAAACTCAACACTTTTAACTGAAGATACAAGAGGTAGAATTGAAGAATGTTTCAAAATTATTTCCAGAGACATCCAGTGAAATCGTCATTCAACATACATTTAAAGTCACTGAAAATAAATATGTAGAAAAAATATGTTTTATCACTTTAAATTTACGTTCTAGACTGTGAAATACAATCTGTAAACAAATATTGAATGTTTTGTTTTACATTAAACTCTGTCTCTGGACATTCCTGGTTATTTCGAGCCTCCATAGATAAGCTTTGAAGAAGAGTAATAGTTATGGATGCCAGAAAAGTTGCATTAAAGATTACCTTACAGTTAAACACGGAATTTTGGTTCATATACAATACGGCCATTGAGCAAAATAAACTAATAAACTAAAGAAATTAAGAACTTGTATCAATATAGTCATTAACACTTTTAGATTTCGATAAGCAATCAATATTGAAGGATCACACCTATCAGTGTGTTAATTTTACAAACAAAAAACAATTTTTAAGGTTAGATTACAATCTGTTTGTACATTTACGAAAACTTTTTTACTGTTATTGCATAGGCATTTTTAATAATCTCTGTATTTTGTGCTTACAATAATTAAGACTTTATTATTGTAATATTGGGGTGTTCATACCTATTAAATTTACGGAAAGTAAATAAAAGAAACGTCTTATAACACTTAAAACATATATTTACTCTTATACTGTTACTCACAAGACGGTAAATATACAAAAACGATGGTAAGTGGTGATCGATTTCGATTGGACACTCCAATCATCATCAGACCCAATAGGCGAATCTGCATTCGCGAACATTCGTATTACATTCGGGACTCACTCTTCCTCGCCATCTCAGATAGGTTCCACACCAAGCTCTACAAATACAGGAGAGCCTCACTCTTTCTCACCATCTCAGATAGGTTCCTCACCAAGCTCTATAAATACAGGAGGGACTCACTCTTCCTCACCACCTCAGATAGGTTACTCGCCAAGCTCTATAAATACAGGAGTGACTCACTCTTCCTCACCATCTCAGATAGGTTCCTCATTAAGCTCTATAAATACATGAGGGACTCACTCTTCCTCACCATCTTAGATAGGTTCCTCAACCAGCTCTATAAATACAGGAGGGACTCACTCTTCCTCGCCATCTGAGATAGGTTCCTCACCAAGCTCTATAAATATCAGAGGGACTCAATCTTCCTCGCCATGTCAGATAGATTCTTTACCAAGCTCTATTAATACAGGAGAGACTCACTCTTCCTCACCATCTCAGATAGGTTCCACACCAAGCTTTATAAATACAGGAGAGACTCACTCTTTCTCACCATCTCAGATAGGCTCCTCACCAAGCTCTATAAATACAGGAGAGACTCACTCTTCCTCACCATCTCAGATAGGTTCCTCACCAAGCTCTATAAATACAGGAGGGACTCACTCTTCTTCACCACCTCAGATAGGTTCTTCAACAAGCTATATAAATACGGAGTGACTCACTCTTCCTCACCATCTCAGATAGGTTCCTCATCAAGCTCTATAAAAACAGGAGGGACTTACTCTTCTTCACCATCTCAGATAGGTTCCTCGCCAAGCTCTATAAATACAGAAGGGACTCACTCTTTCTCACCATCTCAGATAGGTTCCTCATAAAGCTCTATAAATACAGGAGAGACTCACTCTTTCTCACCATCTATGATAGGTTCCTCACCAAGCTCTATAAATACAGGAGGGACTCACTCTTCCTCACCACCTCAGATAGGCTTCTCACCAAGCTCTATAAATACAGGAGATACTCACTCTTTCTCACCATGTCAGAACGGTTCCTCACCAAGCTCTATAAATACAGGTGGGACTTACTCTTCCTCACCATCTCAGATAGGTTCCCCACCAAGCTCTATAAATACAAGAGAGACTCAGTCTTACTCACCATCTCAGATAAGCTTCTCACCAAGCTCTATAAATACAGGAGAGTCTCACTCTTCCTCACCATCTCAGATAGGTTCCCCACCAAGCTCTATAAATACAGGAGAGACTCACTCTTTCTCACCATCTCAGATAGGTTCCTCACCAAGCTCTATAAAAACAGGAGAGACTCACTCTTCCTCACCACCTCCGATAGGTTCCTCAGCAAGCTATATAAATTCAGGAGGGACTCACTCTTCCTCACCATCTCAGATAGCTTCCTCTGCAAGCTCTATTAATATATGAGGGACTCAATCTTCCTCACCATCTCAGATAGGTTCCTCACAAAGCTCTTAAAATATAGGAGGGACTCACTCTTCCTCACCATCTCAGATAGGTTTCCCACCAAGCCTTATTAATACAGGAGAGACTCACTCTTCCTCGCCATCTCAGATAGGTTTTTCACCAAGCTCTATAAATACAGGTGGGACTCACTCTTCCTCACCACCTCAGATAGGTTACTCACCAAGCTCTATAAAAACAGGAGGGACTCACTCTTCCTCACCACCTCAGATAGGTTCCTCAGCAAGCTATATTAATACAGGAGTGACTCACTCTTTCTCGCCATCTCAGATAGGTTCCTCACCAAGATCTATAAATACAGGAGGGACTTACTCTTCTTCACCGTCTCTGATAGGTTCCTCACCAAGCTCTATAAATACAGAATGGACTCACTCTTCCTCACCGTCTAAGATAGGTTCCTCACCAAGCTCTATAAATACAGGAGAAACTCACACTTCTTCACCATCTTAGATTGGTTCCTCAACAAGCTTTATAAATACAGGAGGGACTCACTCTTTCTCGCCATCTGAGATAGGTTCCTCAACAAGCTCTATAAATACAGGAGAGACTCACTCTTCCTCACCATCTCAAATAGGTTCCACACCAAGCTTTATAAATACAGGAGAGACTCACTCTTTCTCACCACCTCAGATAGGTTCTTCAGCATGCTATATTAATACAGGAGTGACTCACTCTTTCTCACCATCTCAGATAGGTTCCTCATCAAGCTCTATAAATACAGGAGCGACTTACTCTTCTTCACCACCTCAGATAGGTTCCTGGTTCCTCAGCAAGATCTATAAATACAGAAGGGACTTACACTTCTTCGCCGTCTCTGATAGGTTCCTCACCAAGCTCTATAAATACAGAATGGACTCACTCTTCCTCACCGTCTCAGATAGGTTCCTCAACAAGCTCTATAAATACAGGAGGGACTCACTCTTCCTCACAACCTCAGATAGGTTCCTCAGCGAGCTATATAAATACAGGAGTGACTCACTCTTCCTCACCATCTCAGATAGGTTCCTCACCAAGATCTTTAAATACAGGAGGGACTTACTCTTTTTCACTGTCTCTGATAGGTTCCCCACCAAGCTCTATAAATACAGGAAGGACTCACTCTTCCTCGTCATCTCAAATAGGTTCCTCACCAAGATCTATAAACACAGGAGGGTATTACTCTTCTTCACCGTCTCTGATAGGTTCCTCACCAAGCTCTATAAATACAGAATGGACTTACTCTTTTTCACCGTCTCAGATTGGTTCCTCACCAAGCTCTATAAATACAGGAGGGACTCACTCTTCCTCACCATCTCAGATAGGTTCCTCAGCAAGCTCTATAAATATAGGTGGGACTCACTCTTCCTCACCATCTCAGATAGGTTCCTCAACAAGCTCTATAAATATAGGTGGGACTCACTCTTCCTCACCATCTCAGATAGGTTCCTCAACAAGCTCTAAAAATATAGGAGGAACTCACTCTTCCTCACCATCTCAGATAGGTTCCTCACCAAGCTCTATAAATACAGGAGGGACTCACGCTTCTTTACCATCTCAGAGAAGTTCCTCACCAAGTTCTATAAATACAGGAGGGACTCACTCTTTTTCACCATCTCAGATAGGTTCCTCACCAAGCTCTATAAAAACAGGAGGGACTTGCTCTTCTTCACCGTCTCAGATAGGTTCCTCACCAACCTCTATAAATACAGAAGGGACTCACTCTTTCTCACCATCTCAGATAGGTTCCTCACCAAGCTCTATAAATACAGGAGAGACTCACTCTTTCTCACCATCTATGATAGGTTCCTCACCAAGCTCTATAAATACAGGAGGGACTCACTCTTCCTCACCACCTTAGATAGGCTTCTCACCAAGCTCTATAAATACAGGAGAGACTCACTCTTCCTCACCATCTCAGATAGGTTCCAAACCAAGCTCTATAAATACAGGAGAGACTCACTCTTTATCACCATGTCAGAACGGTTCCTCACCAAGCTCTATAAATACAGGTGGGACTCACTCTTCCTCACCATCTCAGATAGGTTCCCCACCAAGCTCTATAAATACAGGAGAGACTCAGTCTTCCTCACCATCTCAGATAAGCTTCTCACCA